AGGGGTAGAGGAAGAAACAAAAGACGAAAACAAAAGGGTGAGAAAGATAAACAAGAAGAAGAAAATGAGATGGAGAAGACGAAGAAGAAGAAGAAAAGAAGACGAAGAAGAAATTATAAGAAACAAAGAGACAAAGAACATGAGCAAAGGGAAAAGATAAAAAAAAAATACATGCAAAAGCAGGCAGAAAAAGAAGTTATATGACGGGCTCAGCTGTCTTGGGAAAAAGCATGATAAATTCTTGGTAGAGGATACGAGAGAAAGGGCCTTTGAAACAGACAAGTGACGTTTAATGCTTTATAAAGTCAGGGAGCGAGAGAGAGAGAGAGAGAGAGAGAGAGAGAGAGAGAGAGAGAGAGAGAGAGAGAGAGAGAGAGAGAGAGAGAGAGAGAGAGAGAGAGAGAGAGAGAGAGAGAGAGAGAGAGAGAGAGAGAGAGAGAGAGAGAGAGAGAGAGAGAGAGAGAGAGAGAGAGAGAGAGAGAGAGAGAGAGAGAGAGAGAGAGAGAGAGAGAGAGAGAGAGAGAGAGAGAGAGAGAGAGAGAGAGAGAGAGAGAGAGAGAGAGAGAGAGAGAGAGAGAGAGAGAGAGAGAGAGAGAGAGAGAGAGAGAGAGAGAGAGAGAGAGAGAGAGAGAGAGAGAGAGAGAGAGAGAGAGAGAGAGAGAGAGAGAGAGAGAGAGAGAGAGAGAGAGAGAGAGAGAGAGAGAGAGAGAGAGAGAGAGAGAGAGAGAGAGAGAGAGAGAGAGAGAGAGAGAGAGAGAGAGAGAGAGAGAGAGAGAGAGAGAGAGAGAGAGAGAGAGAGAGAGAGAGAGAGAGAGAGAGAGAGAGAGAGAGAGAGAGAGAGAGAGAGAGAGAGAGAGAGAGAGAGAGAGAGAGAGAGAGAGAGAGAGAGAGAGAGAGAGAGAGAGAGAGAGAGAGAGAGAGAGAGAGAGAGAGAGAGAGAGAGAGAGAGAGAGAGAGAGAGAGAGAGAGAGAGAGAGAGAGAGAGAGAGAGAGAGAGAGAGAGAGAGAGAGAGAGAGAGAGAGAGAGAGAGAGAGAGAGAGAGAGAGAGAGAGAGAGAGAGAGAGAGAGAGAGAGAGAGAGAGAGAGAGAGAGAGAGAGAGAGAGAGAGAGAGAGAGAGAGAGAGAGAGAGAGAGAGAGAGAGAGAGAGAGAGAGAGAGAGAGAGAGAGAGAGAGAGAGAGAGAGAGAGAGAGAGAGAGAGAGAGAGAGAGAGAGAGAGAGAGAGAGAGAGAGAGAGAGAGAGAGAGAGAGAGAGAGAGAGAGAGAGAGAGAGAGAGAGAGAGAGAGAGAGAGAGAGAGAGAGAGAGAGAGAGAAGAACAAAGAATCATAACCTGCTGAACCTGGGCAAAGAGTGAAGACGGGAGGGAGAAAGAATAGATAAATAAATGGGCAAATTGATAAAGATGGGAGAAAATAACAAAGATTTAAACTCATATGATGTTATGACTTAATGTTTATAGAGAAAATGTTGATGTATATAGAGAAAAAGAGGAGAAAATGACAATGATCTAAGTCTTACAAGATGTAAATAACATGTGAGAAAGAAAAGTACAAAGAACTGATTCTCTGTCTCCCTCTCTCGTTCCCCCCTCCTTCCCTCTCTCTCTCTCTCTCTCTCTCTCTCTCTCTCTCTCTCTCTCTCTCTCTCTCTCTCTCTCTCTCTCTCTCTCTCTCTCTCTCTCTCTCTCTCCTTTAAAGGGGTTAAGAGGTTAGCCATTTAAGCATTCAAAAGAGCAGGTATGAATGCCTCTTGAATTTTTTCCCTTCCATTTTTACACCATTTTTATACCTCTTAGTACACTTGCCTGTGTTTCATAGTTTATAGCGGACATCAAACCTGGTATTAAGAAGTTGTTTCTCGTCTAGAGAATCTTTTATATGAAAATCTTCATCAGAGAAAGCTATAAAGTCTCTGTTTACTAAGTTTTGATGACGTAATGTACTGAGTTCTTAGTTCACACTTAATTACTTTTGTCCTTTTATGTGGGATGAAAGTTATAGTATTGTCCCAGTTTTTGCTTTATTTTTCAGTTGTCGTCTAGAGAATCTTTTTTCTTTTTATATAACTTTTTTTGATTTTTCATTTTTTTTCCATCTTTTCTTTTCTCCTTTCTATCTTACTTTCCCTATCCTTCCAGCTTTCCTTTCCGCCTACTCTCTCTCTCTCTACTTCTCTCTCTCTCTCTCTCTCTCTCTCTCTCTCTCTCTCTCTCTCTCTCTCTCTCTCTCTCTCTCTCTCTCTCTCTCTCTCTCTCTCCCCTCCGTCCCTCTTTCTCTCTTTCTCCTTAGAGCAACGATCCGCACACACACAAACAAACAAATCTAAAAATAAATAAATAATTATCTAAACAAAAGATAACAGATAGGAAAGTAAAGAACAAAAAAAAAAGACCAACCTGGCCGCAGAAATCCGCATCCTCCATGTGACGGCAAAGGTTAATGGTGTTTCTTCCTTCGAATTTTTTAAGCCAGTGGAATCCAAGGGGACGGGATTTGTTG